CGCGGGGCCGCGCCCTGCGGGGGTGGGGTGAGGGGGCCGCCCCGGGGCCGGTAACGGAGCGGGGGACACACACAAAATGGCAGCGTCTGCCCCCCGTCCCCAAGCAGCCACCGGGCGGCGGGGGATGGGGCTGCCCCGGCTGCCCTTGAGGGGTCTGCCCGACTCTCCGGGAGCTGGCCCGCGGGCACCCAGCGATAACTCGGTTCCTGGTGGGCGAGGAGGGGGGTAACGGAGCCCCCGTCACCCCCGAGCCGCCGGCCTAGCTCCCGAGGGGTACAAGCAGCCCTTTGTTTTCCTTTTTTATTTGCAAATAAGCACTGAAGGTCACGGGAGCCCCGCAGCCCGGCGGTGACAGGCGGAGGAACGGGCTGAGAGCGTGTCTCGGCGGCCGAGTTTTGGAGCGTTTGGGCTTTCTGGGCCCTCCCGGTGTCACCCCCGACCCGCGGGGCCGGGCCCCCTCCCGCCGCCCGCCCTCGGAGCGGAGCTGCCGGAGCTAGGCCTTCCTTCGCTACCACCAGTGACCTTGAAATACCACGGCTCCGAGTTTCCAGAATGAAGGACAAAGTTTGTTTACGGCACTTTGGACTGCAAAAAAAAAAAAAGGGGGAAAAAAAAAAAAGAAATCCGAGTTGAGAAACGAAGCTGCTCCCGAGGGCAGCGAGGACACGGAGAATAGTTTGTAGATTAGGATTAAAGTTAGTTTTCAGTGAGAGGGCTCAAATCACATTGCAGACATTCCTTCTCCTCCACTCCTCCTGAGAGATGCTGAATGTTCCTGTTCCTGTTCTTGCCTTCTCGGGGGTGAACTGGGTGACACAGCTCGAGTGTTCTCAGGCCTGCTCTTATCTCCTTCATTTTCTATTTTTTTTTTTTGTCCCCTGACTGCTAATTGTTGACCTTAAAGGTACTGATTTTGAAAATCAGAGGTAATTACATTGTGCAACTTATTTTTCTAGAAAAGTGGGCCCTGAGACACGACCCTGCTCTGCTCCTCGGCGTCAGCTCCCAACAAAGGACTGCGGCTCGGGGCTGAGCTTCAACCTGAGCGGTCTCTGAATTGTTACAGCCTTCAAGTATTACTTTGGGGTGTTTTAATTTCAGTTCAAAGTGGGGAATAGCATCACCTTGTCTCAGGAAAAGCTTTTTCAACTTTCTGTGGTGTCTGGCCTGGCGTGTAAGTTTCAGTCGGAGAAGGGGGCAGAATGAGAAACATCACCCTGAGCCATCTCTGAATAACGGTGGCTGCTCCGGTGCGGTAGTGGAATAACTTCCCTAGCAGGCTGTTGGCCAGAGGCAGGGGATTTACTGTGAGCGTGAAGGTCATTGGTAGCATCTTTAAGCAAAAATGAGACATTTTAAAAGGGTTTTTTTTTTGCCCTGAAATTTGGGTGTATTCAGCTGCTCCCTGCTTTTGAGGGGTGGCAGAAGGCAAGGGAATCTGTAGGTCCCATAAGATGAAATTAGAAATCCTGCAGAGGTCTTCCTTACCCCCAGTGTTTGTCATATTTCATTGCTTAAGCAATGTACGAATGGCTGCTGCTGGATCTTTCTAGGTCAAGAGCAGCAGGAAAAACCTAAAGCTTTTGGTAGCACTGTAACGGGATTCATTAACAAACTGCACCAGTTCCTGCCTTTTTCTTGCGGCACCGTAAGAGAAAGGAAGGTCCTTGGGTCCAATTTTACACTGCTCAGTGAAGTTTGTTGTGTCTCTGTGTCCCAAAGGTCCCCTGGGCTTTTCTTGTAGTTTTTGCTGCTGGAAATGCAGGCTCCAAAAACAGGCTCATTTTTTTTGTTTAAGGAACTTTTCAACCCTTGTTTTTTACACTAGCTGAACTGGCAGCGCAGGTAGTGAAGGTGTGAAGGTTTGTTGTGGGAAATCACTGTCCCTGGGCCGAGCTCCTTGGTGGCAGGGAGGAGGAGGAGGAGGAGGATGATGAGGATGCATGTGACGGTGGTGGATGCCCACAGGAGGTCACCTTTCAAACCAATGCTCATATGTGAGTGAGGTTGGTTGGTTTGTGTTTTTAATCGGACTAGTATCTTGCATTTATATAATGTAGCGTGACACCCGTATTTTAATAGCGTGGGCACACAAAGCGGTTTCTTAATTTCAGGGCTTAGCTGTCTGCCGATGTGGTAGCCGAATTAAATTTGTATGGTTGCTAACTTAAACCCATAAATTATTATGTTTTTGATAAAGACAACAGCTTACCTTATGTTTCAGAGGGTCAAAAAATGTAGCAGCTGTTACAAGGGGCACTGACAGCGAGATCAAACTTCAGGTTACCTGCCAAAGCTTCCTGGGAATTTACAGGAAGGTGGTTTATTTTCATTTGTTCTCAAAAACTTAAGGTTTTCTACATGCTGAGATCTCGGTGGGAAGATTTTCTTCCGCTGTCTGTTTATAATGTGCTCTGCTATCTGGTCATTTCCTGATAAATCAAAATGGGTCGCTCTCAGTTGTCTTTTTTCATTCAGTGAAGGTGACCCAGAAGGTCAAGATTTGCATGTTTATAATAGAGGATTATTTTTTAAAATAATAAAAAGAAAATAAGAGAAGGGCCTGATTGTACCATCCCGTCTCCCTATTGAGCAGTACAGGTTGTGCTTCATGTAAGTGAGAGCTGCTGGTCTCAGGAGGCAAAAGGCTTCTGGTTGATTCTATGAAAATAATTACTTTTCACTTCTGCAAGATGCCATTTGATAATTTAACTTATAAAAGGAAGTGGTAGGAACATTGAGTATTAGAATAATAGAAAAATAACCCTGCAGGCCCCTAAAAGCAGCACATTTATTTCACTTTCTACCCAGAATGCCCCCATGTGTAGAAGACATGCCCAGTTATAGGCTGGGACAGCCTTTCACTCGGCTTTGAAACCGTCACAGGTTTTGTGAGTAACTCCCGTTTGTCGCTCCTGGGTTGCTAGGTGGGAGCTGCAGCTGCCCTGCTGCGGTTTGATCCCTCCTTCTGCCTTCCCCTCTTCCCTCTCTAGTGGCACGGTGGTGGTGAAGCCTAAAAACGCAGCAGAAGAGGAAAGAAACACGCGACACTTGAGGCTGCCTTCAAATGCCAGCCTGACTCTGCCCTGAATGTGCCGCAGGAGCATCTGACAACTCTCGGCTCCAGCGGCCGCCGGGGTCCTGCTGGCCTCGGGAGGGTCAGAGCTGGTTCAGCCAGTTACATCCTGTGGCTACCAGGAGGGTGAGAAACTGGGAGGGCTCTCCTAGGACTTTCTGTATAGAAACTCCTGATTTAATGCAGAATTATTTATAAATAATTCCAAATATCAAGGACTAACATTTAGAAAATAATAATAATGATTCCCCAGGCTGAATGTGGGTTCAATCCATACTGTCTTAACAGGCATTTGGCTTGTGCTCCAGAGCAGTAAACGTGTATGTTACATGATCAGAACTGCTGCTGTATAAATACAAAATAAAAGAAACGGGCAAACAGCCCCAAATGCTGGGTGAGACCCCTCTGGCAACACCCCCCCCTTGCTTTTGTGAGCTCCTGGGCACGGCAGTCGGGGGGGTCTCTGCGACGGGTGTCTGGGTGTCGACAGATGCCGAGCAGATACCAGCAAAGCTGGAAACTATCACTGGATTTTGAAATATTTGAAGCAGTTTCTCAATAAGTGAAGCCCATAGCTTGGTTAGTGCTGCTGCTTGTTGATGCCAAAATAGTGCCTATGGGCCTGAAAGTATTTTTGTCAGATTTCAAGTTGGGCTTATTAATATCTCACAGGCTGTGTGTATTGTGTGCATTCGGGGTATGTGAGAAGGGCTTTTGTTTTGGGAATACCTGATGTCTCTGCGTTTGTGACATTTATTCCCATATGGTACAGGTCTGGCTGAGTTGCCTCCTGCTGCCGAGAGCAAGGCACTGCCTTAACGTTTCTCACTAGTTTTATTGTTCTATAACTGCTCGAGACTGAGACCATGTAATTTTGGGAAGATAAGTTTGGTTTCACTTTTTTTCCTTGTTACCCTCATTAAGGCTGCTGTTAAAGGGAAGCGAGTAAAACGCCCGTATACCAGGAGTGGGAAGTACATTCTGAGGTGTGTAGCTTGGAATTCCTTTTAAATTTCTAAAGCTGCAATACATGCCACCAATCCTGTGCTAAGTTGGTCGAGATTAAAGTTTGTAAGGCGAAATACATGATTTGCAGTATTGTTTTGGTATGTGCCAGCTGTTTTATCCTGTGAAGTAGACTTGACTAACTTGAACGTGCTTTACTTAAAAGAACTTTTCTGTATCTGCTGGGTGTGGGATTTGGGAGCTGGAGAGGCAGCACACGTTGGCTTAGACACTTGTTGTTATTTGGCTGGGAATTTTCTTCCTCTGCTTCTTGCTCTGTGTGCTTGCCAGCCAAAATGGCACTGCAAAGAGCCACTATTTAATAGTAAACACCAAATAGCAAGCGAGACCCTTGTGCTCTTTCATTTCAAGAAGAAAAGAAAGTAAAATAACCAGTACAAACAGCAATTCAGATTATTTTGTTTGCTTTACCTTTTTAAGGAAAAAAACCCAAACTATTCCTGTGCCTTTTTCCTTGTGCTGCTCTAATATTTGCAGCCTCGTTTTTGACTTGGTGCTGCTTTGTGGGGGGGTCAGTTCTCCGTTCTGTGGCGCGGTTTCGGTGGGTTTGTGTGTGTTCCCACCCCCCTGCCCAGCGTTGGGTGCAGGCTGTGTGTCTCTCTGTGCACAGGCTGGTGGGGGGCTGCTCCTGGGCAGAGGATTTTTAGCAGTGCTGCGAGTTACATGGTGAATAGAAACTCCACGCTTCTGTAAAAGGAGACATTATTCCTGTTGATTTTTTTTTTTTCCTCCTGAAGGAGTAAAGCCAAGTGACACTCGCCTGCCCCAGGCTGCAGCTGCCATTGTCTGGGCTAGAAATTGCCTTTGGCTGCCAGGTCATGCTGTCTTCTGTGCTCAGGTATGAGACTCAGCGCTGTTCCTCTGGTGTGTGTGTTCAGTAAAATGTCTCTGCTGCATCTTGGCTGTGCCACAGGACATTCTCTTCCCCTGTCCCCACTGAGTGGGCAGTGGAGTGGCAGCTCGTACCCCAGCGTGCCGAAACCCAGCCACTGTGCCCGGGATGGGAGAAGGAGGAGCAGAATTCCTGCTGGAGGTACTGGGGTGGAGAAAGGGAGAGGAGGAGGCAGAGCTGTGTCTGTGATCCAGCAAAAACTATCCAGCGACACTCTTAATGGCTCGGTGATGAGAGGGGACAAGGCAGATTTGGCCCTGCCAAAGTGCTGAAACCAAAGTGGGCCAGTTTGAGGAGCTGTGTGCTGTTGGAAGCGTTAATCCCCGTCCCTCTCTCTGACTTTGCAGCTGGTTTGGGCTTAAATCAAATGCTGTACCTCGCGTGAATGAAAACAGAAGTGATGCATTAGAGGTATTAGAGAGCTAATGTTCAAACAGTGCTTTGAAGACAGAATAATCTACTGCTAAATATTTATAGAAAGAAGGGCTAGAAGGCACCTAAAGAGGTCATCTTGTTTATTTTTTCTGCCCTAAGGCAAGATCAACTCCACTTAAATGCTGTTTTGCAGCCTTCTCTTAAAAACCTTTAGCAATAAGTAATCAGTAATCAGAGGATACTCTGTATGTAATTTAGTGCAGCATTTAACTGGCCTGACCATGATGTTCAATTTTAATTTGATCGAAGGAGAGAAATCTGCATATCTGCACCTTATCCCAGCCTCCAATGATTCTCCCGTCAGCTGAGATCAGCCCCTTCTGTTGCCAGCTCTGTGCTGGAGGGTTGTGTGTATGTCACACCGCGAGGGGAACGGATAAAAATAAAACTGAGGAATTGCAGAAGTTTCCTATAATAGCGCGTTGGAAGGAAGCGCTTGTGTTTTGAATTATGTTGGTTTTACTGAAAGCCTCTTGAAATTGTTTTTAAGGAGTTGAAAGGTTACATTTTCATCAAGAGCAGAACTTCAGGCTTTCCGAAGTTTGGGATCTTCACCTTTTTCTACCACCTGAAAAGCTGCCTTAGGTTTCATAGCACTATTGTATAGCACTAGTGTTACACTTAGTGCAAGGCTTCTGGTTTTGGCCTATGGTTTAGCTATAACTTTGATCATCACTTACAGGCAACAAATTATGAACAAAGTTATTGTGCTTTAATAACAACAGCATCATTACCGCTGCGATGTGCTGAAGTTATTGTGCTGTATCTGTAATGCTATGGATTATACAGTCAATTATGTTTGATCTTTATAGTGTTCCTGCTTCCTTTTTATTGGGATGTGGAGTATTGGGTTTTGTTCAAAGCTGATCTCGTGTCCAAAACAACACCGTATAAATCTCTGTAAATGTGGTATTCCCTCTGCTCCCCCCGGCACTCGCTCACACAATGTTTTATAGGCAAAGCCTTTTCTGTGCTCTCCCACTGACACACCAGGGCTGGGACTGAGTCTCCACAGATGTGTACGTTGAAGTGGCTCCTCCTTTGGGAAGGTGTTTGGCACGTGTGGTGATGGCAGCACGAGCCAGGCTGGCTCTCTCCAAGCCCCATTCCTGGGGGTGTGTTCACTGGTTTTTCTCATGGATTCATTCAAAGCATCAGGAGGCAGAGGTTGGTGTGTCGTAACCCCGGAGCCCTGCATGCCACGGCTTGTGCCTCTCCTTTTGCTTTGGCACGGCCAGGCACAAATCTTGGTGGTTGTTCCCTCTGCCACAGTGCTCTGTGCCACACTGTGGCAACGTCTTTTGTGGTGTGATGGTTTGTGTGATGGCTTCATAGCTGGGAAACCTTCTGTAGAGGATGGTAGACCAGTTGCGTGCCCATCGGTGTTCCCGGTGGCCAGGTTGAGACCACCTTCACGTGCTGTCTCATTGCCATGTCAGAGGTGGGTTAAGTTCCCTTGGTGAGTCTGACGGCTCTTAGTCTCCACAATCAAACGAGGGCTGTCATCAACAGGAGGGGAAAAAAATGGGCACAACGCAAACTCCATGGCACTGCTTTGGAAGAGAGATCTGTCTGTTTGTGGTTACAGCTCAACTGCCGGCATGACTTGAGTCATGGAATTCCATTCTTGGTTTAAAAATTTTACATAATTGAGTGAGCAAGGCCTGAATGTTAAGGTAGGAGAAGAAACCATTGATCTCAAACACAATTAAGAACTATTTTTACACCAGCGCTGCCACCTCCAAAAGTGAGTAGAAGTAATTCTTGGCTGTGGTTCTGGCACCTGGGTATTTCCAGCCGTGCTGTTGTGCTGCTTGGCCTCCCTCTGGTCAGCGTGTGATTTGGAACTTAATGGAAACGAAACCTTATTTCATGAAATGTCTTTACTTTGAGGATGGCAGAGCCCTGGAAGAGGCTGCCCAGGGAGGTGGTGGAGTCTCCTTCTCTGGAGACATTCAAACCCACCTGGACACGTTCCTGTGGGACCTGCTCTGGGTGGACCTGCTCTGGCAGGGGGTTGGGCTGGATGATCTCCAGAGGTCCCTTCCAACCCCATGGGATTCTGTGAAAGGAGTCTCGGCTGAAAATATCTATATTGACCTGAGTAGATCTTGAAGTGGAGTCAATGCACAGTGAATGGAGGTGTGATATCTCTGTGGAAGCAATTTTGGACCATTAACGTGACTTCCCAAAGGTTTGGTTTAAGCTAAGGTAGCACAGGGCATCGTGTTGTGCCAAACGTGTTGTGGTTGAGCTGCAGCACAGAGACAGCTCCAACCACCGCCATCGCTGCCGGGGGCAGGGACTGGTGTAGCACATCCAAACTCGGTGTATGTTCTGCATTTGCTGTACAAGACAGGGCTGCAAATTGCTCTCATTGAAGTAATGAGAGCAGCATCTTGCCCAGGGTGCTGCTGTGTGCCTTTCTCTCCTCCATCGACCACTCCTCCTTCGCTCGCGTTTGGAGAAATGTGTTACCAAATTCACATAAAACCGTATTTATTCTTCTTGGGGAACTCGTTCTTGGTTGCTAGATTGTTCCTTCTGATTCTGGCAGGATCAGGTGTCTGGCGCTTGTTGCTACACAGAGCTCATTCTTTAGACATGCGAGTGGGGCTCCGCGCATTTTACTTTTAAATCACAGGACAGGCTCCCAAAACAGAACGCTACAGTTCGGGGAGTTCGGGATCAGACTGAAGTATCGCGGAATGCCGGGGTTGGTATTCAGTCTAAATACTGACTTTTCAGCTCTGTGGATCTATTTTTAATTCTTCAGGCTGCCAGAGTTTTTGCTGGGTGCTGTGGGGTTGGGTTTTATTCTTTGGTAGTAAAGGTGGGGTTTTTTGTTTTTGTTTTTTTTTGTAAAAAGAAGAACCACATTGCTTGTTTTCTCCTTTTCTGTAATAATTTTCCTAATAATTAATTTGCAAGTTTTGTGGGATAATGGATGTTGTAAAACTGACAGCATCTTAAGAAGAGTCGTGTGGGGAGATATTTTGGGGAGCGGGGATTTTGTAAAGACTGTGGACATGGAGATGTTGGGTCTGTATTTATGTAGTGGTAGAACCTGGCAGGGGGAATTTGTTTTTGCAATGTCAGTTTTCAGAAATATTTGTGTGTTTCCCTTATTTGTAGCTATAATCTAAGGATGTGAAGGCAAAACATTTGTCTGAGTTTCTCTAATTTCTTTATAGCCTCCATTTACTATAGATTTAGCCATTTTTTACAGACGTTTGCATGGAATATGCTTTTACTGCTGCATAATACGGTGCTGTGTAAAAGGGGCTCTTTCCCAGAGTGTAAGTCACGGGAATCTGAGTGTACAATATGCAAAGGGCCTGACGTTTTGCTGTCACCAGGGGCTGCGGCGCTTGAGGAAGTTGCTGAGTTGGAGCCTCCTTCATTGAGCCTCAAGGCTTTTCAGCGCTTCCCCCTGGCATTCGCCCTTTGCATATCCCTGCAGATATTTGGATAAATCTCATTTAGATCTCTCTCTGCCCAGCTGGCTTTGGTTGACTTCTTAGCCCAGGCCAGTTTGGGAGTGACTGGAAAGCAGGCCTGTCGGAAGCTGTGAGGTGACCCTCGCTGGCCGGGGACCTTGGCCTCGGGTTCTCCTGCCCCAGCTGACTTGGCCACCGGCACCGGTGATGCCCGGGAGTATCCTGGGTCTGATTGCTGCTTTTCCAGATGAAGAGCCCTGCGTTCCTGCCCTGAGTGGAATTGCAAGACCAGAGATCTTGGGTTTATTTGCGGTTAAACCGTAGCTTGTGTTTTCAATAGCAGGTTCTTGCTCAAGCGTGCAGATTGTAGGCATCCCGGGTGAGACAGCTTCATTTGCCTGCTTCCCCCTTCCCACCGCGTTACAGAAAGAGCACAAACCAGCATCTGCTTAAAAAACAAAAGCAAAACAAACAAACATACAAGCAAGCAATAACAAAAAAAACCCACAGATGCTGGAGGTGTCTTGGTGCTTGCTCTGTGCTCCTCTGAACTGAGACTCTTAAGTGTTTGTCGGCTGCCACAGGATTTTGTAAGTTTTGGTGTTTGTAAAAGGTGTTCTGCTCTGGTGAGCAGAAAAGCTCTAATTGCAAAGTGTTGATGTCGTAGTTCTGGGGATGTGCTTGCTAATCTGCTCTGTAATTACCTCCAGGCGTTTTATGCCTAGGCCTCAGCTTTTTTGGCCTTTGGTTTCTTTTTCCTTTAAGTCTGGAAACAAAACATTTGCCTTCATGGAAGGTATTTCCAGCTGTGTGGACTGGGCTGGCTGGTGAGAAGCAGGGGTATCCCAGTCTCTCCTGTTCCACACCCTTATTTCGTGCTGTGTCTATATTTTGGGGGGAGTTGGTTGCTTTCTTATATCTAATTCCATGAGGTGTTTGTGTTGTGAGTTCAGTGTGTTGTGTGTGTGTGAACCTTCTCATCTAGATTCTTCTGTGAGACCATCTCTGCGTAGCCTGGTTTTCAGGCTGCAGGCTCCTGGGACCCAAAGCTGGTGGTTTTCTTGGTCTGAGGCTGGCACAGCATCCCCTTTGCTTCCAAGCAGCGTCGGGCGCACGGGGAGATGCCGGCTTTGGTGAAATGAAGGGCTGTGAGAGCAGAAGCGCGTCGAGCTTGCAAGGAACTTCTCCAGCTTCTTCACGGAGACACAGGAGGAAAGGATCCAGATCCAGACACTGCTGGTTCCTTTGGTTGGGGTTACGATTTGTGGCGACCAGGTGACATGGGAGAGGGACTTGAACTTCTGTTATCCAGCAACAAGGTGGTGGTGGAGCAGCCAGTTTCGTCTTAAACCTTCTGAGAGACCCAGCCCCACGATGTGGGGAGTGTGGGGATCTTCAGGGCACCTCTTCCCTCCTGCACTGGGTTCTGGAGGAAATCTTTGCAGGAGGAAAGATGAAATATAATGAAGGTCTAAAAATTTTCCTGCAAACTGCATATTGAAGAAGACAAACAGGTTGAGACACCAATAGCATGAAATTGGAGGCGCTGCCTCGCTGGGCTGCGGGGAGGGCTTATCTTCTCTTCGTGCTCTGGTATTTTTTGTGTTGGCACTAATCCTGATAGGAGGCATTCTTTAAAGAGGAGAACACAGCTTCCCGTGGGTGAAGGAGCTTACCTAATGGCCCAGGAATGGTTTCATTAGCAAAGCTTGTCTGGCAGAGCTGATGCTGTGGGTTTGGGTGAGAGTTTGGGTTTTTTATCCTTTCCTTAAAGCAACTTCAACGCCACTTATGTATCTCAGTTCTAATGGGCAGCAATCACCATAGTAATGCTCTGAGCGCTTTTAACCTGCTTAGGCTTTTATTTTGGAGTTTATAGTGATTTCATTCTAAGAGTTTTTCAAAACATTATCCTATTGGTGGCTCTTGTTTCTACTCTAACTCAATTTCCTAACCATTATCCTAAACAGTCCCTTAAAGCAGGAATTGTCCCTTGGGTCCAGCATAAGGCTGTTCATTTTGGGTTCTGAAATCAGTCCTATGTTTACCTTGAAGACAGAAAATTTCCTTTCTTCATCAACAGGACTTTTTAAATTATGGATGACTGGAGTAAACAATTTCTAGCTCATCCTGAAATCTGGATGAGTACCAGAGGCATAAATTTAATGCAAGAAGTGTGCTTTTGTGTGTGGCAGGGGGTAAAGCCATGGTGGTGGAATTTTCTTCCTCTTTGCTCCATTAGCTTTTCTTCCCTTTTTTTTTTTTTTAACCTGTTGTTTTTTAGGATTATGTAAAGCATTATATTCCAGTACAGCACTTAAGTGGCTCGAATGCAAGTGGTTCGTGTTTTAAACTAAAGCCTTGAAAAGTGATTTGGCTTGTCTTCAAGATGAATTGCATCTCTGGTTGCAGAAAAGCCCCTGTCTGGTGTTAGTGTTGAAATATTGCCAGTCCAGAGCAGATTTCAAGGATTAGCTTTTATTTATGTGCCTAAACTATTTTTTGTCTACGTTTGACAGTGCAGATCAAAGGGGGAGAAAAAGAAATGCCAAATTAATACAGAGAGCTCCATATTTTAACGAGTGTTTTCTTATAAATAGTTGAAATATCTCAGTTTGTAGGTGGATAGTATTATAATGGAAATAGTTGTTGAAGAGTCATGAAGTCACTTGTCAGTCACTTATTTCCATAGGTTCCTTACCTGGAGTTCTTCCTGTCTTGAGCATTTGCTTTGAGACTGAAAATTTGATCTTCTGACCTCATCTTTGTCACCCCCCCTTCGGCTCTTCCCACGCCTCCCATGTCCCCTTTTCAGGTTGATGAAAGGAAAATACAGCATCTGCCTTGGGAAGTGTGGGCTGCAGGAGGTAACGAGCTAATTGTCTGACATTCGTCTCTTTGATCTGTTAATAAGATTTTATGGATCATCGTTGCTTTGGAATAGTAGATTTTGAAGTTGCTGGCAGTTGGCAGCAGCCTCCCGTCGGTGTTTGGTGTGTTGTGCGGTGTCACCGTGCTCCCCGAGGCTGGAGGAGGGACTGAAAGAAACCTTTTTGGGGATATGTCTGTTTGTCACAGCTAAAGCTCCTCCTGGGTCCCCATGTAATGAAAAATGACACTGAAGTTATCTGTGAGTATCTAGACATCTTCCCCTATAGCAAACATAGCTCCTTTTCTCTCTTGGTCTAAGTTAGGAGACACAGAGTGACTGTACGTGGTGTGTGTCACTCGTGGGACCTCCAGAGCTGCTCTGGGTGACCCCGAGAGCATTTCACACTGGGAGCTCCCTGCCTCTCTCTGACTCTCCTGGCTCTCACCGAGATCCTTTCAGGCCACGGGAAGCAGCGAGTCCCATCCTGTCGGGTTGTGTCTCAGCAAGTCCTACATCTGTGTGGGTTTTTGGCACCTCTGCCCCGTCCTTCCAGGCTGCCCTCCCTGCTGGGAATCCTGCCGGAGCCACGCGCTCCTGTCACACAGGGGCAGCCAGCGGGGCTGGCCGTGCTGTGCCAAGTTGTGCATCCGACTTCATCTTAATATTAACTAGAGCTGTCTCAAGAGTTCCTTGGCAAAAAGGCAGGACTTGATCCAGGAGTTTATGGGGGGGAACAGAATTGTGCCAGCTGGAACCTGAAATGTGCCTGGATGGTCCCGTGTGGGGTGGCACTGGTGTGGGGTGGCACTGGTGTGGTCACCCGAGGACGAGATGGATGGGTGCCCTGTGTCCTGACCTCTTCATCTTCACTGCAGCACAGCACGGTTATAGGGGGAAGTCTGAACCCAGTTACTGTCCCTTTGTTTTCTCCTTATGAGTTCCTGGTGACTCCAGGTACATACTGCAAATAAAGCTGTTTGCAAAGATACAGGTCTTAAGGAAAGCACAGGCCATGTCCAGTAGATGTTCCATAGCACAGACTTGCTGAACATCCTGCAGATGCAGAACTCTGAATGGCAGGCATGGGTCGTTATAAAAATTGTTTCAATTAAAACATTTGAATTTTAAATCTTACTTTGTGCTTTTGACATTCTGCAGGCTGTTAATTTCTCCTGTTGATTATACCCAAGGAAAAGAGGTGTTTTAAAAACAGTGGAAAGCCACGAAAGCTGACACAGAAGCAACTGTTTCATTATGCTTTTTAGAAATAATATCGAGCTGACATTGACAGTTCTGGTTTCGGATTGGGGGGGGGGTTGCTGCCAGATCCTGCACTGTGTTTGGCTGTAACAAGCAAGAGAAAAAAAATGATTTTCTAATAGGCATGGACTGGAGTGTGAGCTGTGACCAAGCATCAGTTTTGTTTTGCAACTCCTGTGCAAAGGCAGAGCTCTAATAGGGGAACAAGGAGACTATTTTGCTTTAATGTTCTTTTACAATCTTTGGAAAAATAAATAAAATTTGAAAAAGACAATTCCAGAGGCTGTGAGTGTCTGTATGCTGTTGCTGAGGGACCTGGACTGACATATCTGACTTGGACAGTATTCTGGCACCCTGGGGCTGGCCCTTTCCTGTATTCCTGCACTTGGAGGGAACTTCTGGGAGCCTTTGACTCGTCCTTCCTCCCCCATTGCTAACGCTGGTTTTGTTTCTCCCAGCTGCCAGCATGTCCACGGACGGGGGGTTCGGCACAGCCAGCAACAGCGATGCCCAGCAGAGCCTCCAGTCCTTCTGGCCACGGGTCATGGAGGAGATCCGCAACCTCACCGTGGTGAGTGTCCTCCCCAGTTGTGTTATTTCTGAAGAACTGACAGTGAAAAGTCAATGGTGGTGAGATCAGCCTCAGCTTGAACAAGTTCCTGCTGCTAATGGGATCCAGTGGAGTCGGCTAGTTACACCTTGGAAGGTGTCCTTAAGAGCTGATAAATAATCCTTCAGCCAAGCTTGTGACTATTGGCTACAACTGCCAAAAATTGAGATATAAATTGAATGATTCATAGATAATGAGATGTAATAGTCATCTTTCAGCTCTCTCCGGACTAAAGACGACGACAAAGTTGACTCAAAGGTTCTTTTAACAGGTGAAATGATGATGTGGCTGCTTTCTGGAGAATTGCAGAGGAATTATCTGCCGTTTGAGGGGGGAAAGGGAAGTGATCTTAAAATAGCTACAGGTATAAGTGTAGCTGCCATAAGCTCTTTTAGCTAACGGAAGATTGAGGGATTTGAGAATATACCTCATGGTGTATTACGTGGGCTGTTTAACTCCTGTTCAAATTCTGTAACACAAAACGTGTGACCAGCGTGTGAGGGAGCTCTTAGCCCTGAAGGATGAGCCACATCAGCACACCCTGTTTGAATGTTACTGTTCAAAGCAGGACTTGGTCCCTACCCCCTAAATAATTCAAACTCCTGGCTATTGGCAGACAGTTACAACTTTGTGAATGAATTTTTGGGTTCAGACTTTTGTACAGAACCCTCGTGCCCTCCTTCCCAACCGTCTCCTTTGACAAGCCTGAAGTTTTGAAAATCACTTGAATGCCAAGTGCATCACCATCACATGCTTTATTAATTTAAAGGCATTTGATTAAAAAAAAAAAAAAAAGTCCTGTGTAAGCTGAGAATAAGAATTGGGACTAAGTAGCTTCTATTTTTTTCCATCCCCCAAAGAGATGTGCCTGAGAACAAGGGCATATAATAAAAATGACTTTCTGAGAGAGACAGAGAGATGACTGTGATACGGTGCTCCTGCAAGCACACTCCTGGGCTTCTCGTGTACCTGGAAACAAAGGGACTCCAGTCGAAGACGGGCTGTTCAAAGTGAAAACCCCAATCCAGTAGTATGAAGATAAGCTGCTTTTTTTCAGCCTGTGTGCAGATAGTTGATTAAAGAAACAGATGTAGAAATTTGTATGCATAACCAGAATTAATTACTTTCCTCTTTCAGCGCAGTGAATTCTCGTGTTCAAGAGCTGTAGTTTGTCTTCATCTCCACATGAAAGGGGTTTATTCTACGGCTTATCAACTATGGGCAGCTTAATTTTTAACTTCGTATGAATCTATTTATTGCCTTGCGAGCTACTAAGTCATTGAAAATCTAACTGAGGACAGTGAGGGGAGTTGGAAAGGAAAAGCGATAACAGCAAAACATTCCTGGGTGATGTCCCCCGCGTAATCAAATCCTGAAATTTAATTGTGCATCTTGCTGGACGTAAGTAAAGTTAAAGCTCACGTGCATGTGCTGCGCAGCAGGGCTCGGAGCAGCTGCTGGATGGAAAGCCTGCCTTGGCTGCCTGCTTTTGGGGCTATTTCTGCCTCATTTTGTGCGTTTGCCACGTGCCACTGGTAGCCAAAATTCAGGGGGAATAAAACAAGGGGGCTGCTTTAGAAGAATGAGCCAAAGCTCCCCATTCTCCGCCCCGTGTGACAGCAAGGGCTGTGTCCTGTCTGGGAGAAAGGGGGAGCAGGACGAGGCTGAAACTCGTGTTTCAGCTCCACAATTTGTTAGAAGAGGCCTGTGAAAACATTGAGACCTAATTTGGAAAAAAAGAAAAGATGAAGAATTGGTGTCTAAAGTTTGTTCTGCTGGGAAGTAGCCAGCAGTGGTCATGCTTCCCTTCACCATGGTACTTGTGTATTAATTTTGATTTCTGTGACGTTTGCCTGTCTGCCTTAAAGGAATAAAGGAGCTTGAATTTTTTGTAATTTCCCACTGTCTCTAAAGATTTTAATAGGGTTGGACCTCTGCTTGTCTGCTTGCACTTCTGCTGTTTGTAGAAGTTAATATACGTAAGATTATTAAGAGTTTCACAAATTAGGACTTTTCTCCTCATCTTTCTTTGAGCCTTGCTCCAAAGCTCATGAGGTTCTTTAAAAAGGAATGAGCTTTTTAAAAACAAACCAAAACAAAACACAATAAAAAACGTCAAAAAAACCCCTTTGGGATATTTTTCCAGGCCCTAGCAACCCTGTAACTTGTTTGTGTGGCAGTTACTGGTGGAAAATGTCACCCTCAGCACAGGTCCCAGCTTCTCCCACTGCCCAAAATCCTTCCAAAATCCAGTGTTCACCACCAGGATGCGACAGCCCCAGCTCTCCTTGCAAGGACACCCCCAAATCAGGTCTCATTTGCAGCATATTACTAGGAGCAACCCATTCATGTTTGTCTACAGAAAAGCACAGAGCTCTTTTAAACTATATGTGCATATAAAAGGATGCATATGAATATACATACAATTTTTATATATAAATTAAATAAAATGCCCCCTGCTGGAGTGCTGCCTGGACCGTGCACAACCTCCATATTCTCCTTCAATAGAAAGCAGCATTTTCAGCATTTTTTTTCTCTCTCTTTTTGTTTCACTAAAACCTCTTGCAGCGCCTTCTTCCCCAGAGAAATGAGTTTCCTTTTATTTTCTATGACATTTTTGTGAAGAAGGGAAGACCTTTCTTTTTTTTTTTTTTTGTTTTAGAAGCCCTTTGTGGGTAGAGATCCTGCATTCCTGATGCAGGGGTGTGTAGCCTCAGCCTTTCTCCCTTTTTAAGAGGTTCCTAGTAGCAACGCACTTTGAAATTATTTACTTATTTATTATTATTCTTTTCAGAGGAGGGAGCCCAGTGTTGGTAGTGAGGCCCTGCTCCTGTTGGGTGACAGCACAGTGACAGTGCTCACTGTCCCCATAACCATGGTTTCACCCTTCAGAGTCAGCAGTTCTCTTTGCTGGAAAATAGTGAGAAATCCATCCTGGAAGAGATTTATTTTTTGAACGTGATTCCCACAAGGTTTTTAACACCAAAATTGGTATCGGGCAAGAGGGAAGTGCAATGAAAGCAAAGGAGGTTTTGTCCTGTGGCCTCACACAGCTCCTGGTGCCTTCAGTTTCTCTTGTGACTTTCTGTACATTCCAATGGTTTCTGGGTCCCGAGACAGCTAATTGAATTAGTTTCTGCAAATAGATGGAGAAATGTGTAGCATTAGAAACATTCTGTTCTGCAGAATGACTTCAACTTTGAGGTGAAATAGTCGATACAAGTGTCTGTCAGAAGATTTAAGTAGAATTCTGTTGGTATAAAATACAGAGAAGCAGATGGGGATTCTCAGGCCTGAGAAGAAGCTGCCAGACCTCAAGGAAAAGAAGTTATTTTTATAAAAGTAACTTTAGCCAGTTTAGTTCCAGGCAATAGTCACTCTTAACATTTCTTATCTTACCTTTGTTTGCAGTTAAGTATCAGTAAAGAGTCTCTCAAATTGAATCTCTCTGCAGAAAGATTTCAGAGTTCAAGAACTCCCTCTGGCTCGTATTAAGAAGATAATGAAACTAGATGAAGATGTGAAGGTACAGTCGTGGGGATTTTAAGTGTTTATGATCTTTCTGGTGGGTATTGTAGCTGTAATTCCTTGCAATTCATTACTTATTGTTTATTATTATTTTTAAAGTACATTTCAGCAGTTGCCTCGGATGCAGTATTAGTTGGCCTTGTATAATTAAACTGAGCGGGGAAAGCAGAATCATTTGGGATCTTTGCTGGAGACTTTTGCAGTTTTGCTTTCTTCTGGTAAATAGATCCTGGAAAAGGTGTGTGGTGTTTTCCTGCGCCAGGGAGCGATTCATCCAGGCTGGAAGGGGAGGGAACCCTGGTCTCTAATGTGTCTGAACCCAACGAGTGCCAGATTTTTTGATGATGAAGGGGAAAATAAGATTTAAGGGCAGGAGGGAAGTCTCTGGCCTTCCTGGCACATTATTTGACAAGGAGAAGGCTGCACAAGCAATCATTCATGCCAAGCCAGCTAATAATCAAACTGCTTAATTTGAGTAAAACTTGAGCTAGATGCTTTTTAAGGAAAAGGAATTTGGTGAGGGAAAGTCTTTACTCAAGCCTCTAAACCTCCTTTGCAATTTCAGCATTCATTTCAAATTATATAAAAGTTTCAACTATAAAGTAAGGTTTTAAAACAAGCCCTCAAGCGTCATCTTCAGTTTCCAAATTACTTATGCCCAAGCTGAGGTGCTCCAAGAGGAGCTGCTGGTTGACACCCTGGAGATGGACATGTGCTGATGCCATTTACTGGCCCACCATAATCCGGAACAATACGGATTAACATCTGACTAGTCCTGGAGGAAACAGGTTTTCCAGACAGATTTTTAGATGCCCAGTACTCATAACACTGGAGTGTCACACCCACAGATATCCTGGTGTGGAAATTCCCCCAACTTGCCTGTTAAACAATGCGGCCATTCACATTTGAGTGAGGTGATGGGGTTACTCCAACTGCCGCCGTGCGGTGTGAGGATCCTAATGGTAAAATTTAAAACCACAAAATGATCAATCTGGTTGCAGATGATCAGCGCAGAAGCCCCGGTGCTGTTCGCCAAGGCAGCTCAGATCTTCATAACAGAACTGACGCTGCGAGCCTGGATCCACACAGAGGACAACAAGCGCAGGACTCTGCAGGTACCGGAGCTGCTCCTGCCTGGCCTTCAGCTGCCTCAGGAACTGCTTCCAGCTCTCTGTTTCCATAACATCAGGCGTGTTTTGTAGACAGTAACTTCAGTACCTGTGTTTATTGTTTGTTCTGCTGGGAAGTAGCCAGCAGTGGTCATGCTTCCCTTCACCATGGTACTTGTGTATTAATTTTGATTTCTGTGACGTTTGCCTGTCTGCCTTAAAGGAATAAAGGAGCTTGAATTTTTTGTAATTTCCCACTGTCTCTAAAGATTTTAATAGGGTTGGACCTCTGCTTGTCTGCTTGCACTTCTGCTGTTTGTAGAAGTTAATATACGTAAGATTATTAAGAGTTTCACAAATTAGGACTTTTCTCCTCATCTTTCTTTGAGCCTTGCTCCAAAGCTCATGAGGTTCTTTAAAAAGGAATGAGCTTTTTAAAAACAAACCAAAACAAAACACAATAAAAAACGTCAAAAAAACCCCTTTGGGATATTTTTCCAGGCCCTAGCAACCCTGTAACTTGTTTGTGTGGCAGTTACTGGTGGAAAATGTCACCCTCAGCACAGGTCCCAGCTTCTCCCACTGCCCAAAATCCTTCCAAAATCCAGTGTTCACCACCAGGATGCGACAGCCCCAGCTCTCCTTGCAAGGACACCCCCAAATCAGGTCTCATTTGCAGCATATTACTAGGAGCAACCCATTCATGTTTGTCTACAGAAAAGCACAGAGCTCTTTTAAACTATATGTGCATATAAAAGGATGCATATGAATATACATACAATTTTTATATATAAATTAAATAAAATGCCCCCTGCTGGAGTGCTGCCTGGACCGTGCACAACCTCCATATTCTCCTTCAATAGAAAGCAGCATTTTCAGCATTTTTTTTCTCTCTCTTTTTGTTTCACTAAAACCTCTTGCAGCGCCTTCTTCCCCAGAGAAATGAGTTTCCTTTTATTTTCTATGACATTTTTGTGAAGAAGGGAAGACCTTTCTTTTTTTTTTTTTTTGTTTTAGAAGCCCTTTGTGGGTAGAGATCCTGCATTCCTGATGCAGGGGTGTGTAGCCTCAGCCTTTCTCCCTTTTTAAGAGGTTCCTAGTAGCAACGCACTTTGAAATTATTTACTTATTTATTATTATTCTTTTCAGAGGAGGGAGCCCAGTGTTGGTAGTGAGGCCCTGCTCCTGTTGGGTGACAGCACAGTGACAGTGCTCACTGTCCCCATAACCATGGTTTCACCCTTCAGAGTCAGCAGTTCTCTTTGCTGGAAAATAGTGAGAAATCCATCCTGGAAGAGATTTATTTTTTGAACGTGATTCCCACAAGGTTTTTAACACCAAAATTGGTATCGGGCAAGAGGGAAGTGCAATGAAAGCAAAGGAGGTTTTGTCCTGTGGCCTCACACAGCTCCTGGTGCCTTCAGTTTCTCTTGTGACTTTCTGTACATTCCAATGGTTTCTGGGTCCCGAGACAGCTAATTGAATTAGTTTCTGCAAATAGATGGAGAAATGTGTAGCATTAGAAACATTCTGTTCTGCAGAATGACTTCAACTTTGAGGTGAAATAGTCGATACAAGTGTCTGTCAGAAGATTTAAGTAGAATTCTGTTGGTATAAAATACAGAGAAGCAGATGGGGATTCTCAGGCCTGAGAAGAAGCTGCCAGACCTCAAGGAAAAGAAGTTATTTTTATAAAAGTAACTTTAGCCAGTTTAGTTCCAGGCAATAGTCACTCTTAACATTTCTTATCTTACCTTTGTTTGCAGTTAAGTATCAGTAAAGAGTCTCTCAAATTGAATCTCTCTGCAGAAAGATTTCAGAGTTCAAGAACTCCCTCTGGCTCGTATTAAGAAGATAATGAAACTAGATGAAGATGTGAAGGTACAGTCGTGGGGATTTTAAGTGTTTATGATCTTTCTGGTGGGTATTGTAGCTGTAATTCCTTGCAATTCATTACTTATTGTTTATTATTATTTTTAAAGTACATTTCAGCAGTTGCCTCGGATGCAGTATTAGTTGGCCTTGTATAATTAAACTGAGCGGGGAAAGCAGAATCATTTGGGATCTTTGCTGGAGACTTTTGCAGTTTTGCTTTCTTCTGGTAAATAGATCCTGGAAAAGGTGTGTGGTGTTTTCCTGCGCCAGGGAGCGATTCATCCAGGCTGGAAGGGGAGGGAACCCTGGTCTCTAATGTGTCTGAACCCAACGAGTGCCAGATTTTTTGATGATGAAGGGGAAAATAAGATTTAAGGGCAGGAGGGAAGTCTCTGGCCTTCCTGGCACATTATTTGACAAGGAGAAGGCTGCACAAGCAATCATTCATGCCAAGCCAGCTAATAATCAAACTGCTTAATTTGAGTAAAACTTGAGCTAGATGCTTTTTAAGGAAAAGGAATTTGGTGAGGGAAAGTCTTTACTCAAGCCTCTAAACCTCCTTTGCAATTTCAGCATTCATTTCAAATTATATAAAAGTTTCAACTATAAAGTAAGGTTTTAAAACAAGCCCTCAAGCGTCATCTTCAGTTTCCAAATTACTTATGCCCAAGCTGAGGTGCTCCAAGAGGAGCTGCTGGTTGACACCCTGGAGATGGACATGTGCTGATGCCATTTACTGGCCCACCATAATCCGGAACAATACGGATTAACATCTGACTAGTCCTGGAGGAAACAGGTTTTCCAGACAGATTTTTAGATGCCCAGTACTCATAACACTGGAGTGTCACACCCACAGATATCCTGGTGTGGAAATTCCCCCAACTTGCCTGTTAAACAATGCGGCCATTCACATTTGAGTGAGGTGATGGGGTTACTCCAACTGCCGCCGTGCGGTGTGAGGATCCTAATGGTAAAATTTAAAACCACAAAATGATCAATCTGGTTGCAGATGATCAGCGCAGAAGCCCCGGTGCTGTTCGCCAAGGCAGCTCAGATCTTCATAACAGAACTGACGCTGCGAGCCTGGATCCACACAGAGGACAACAAGCGCAGGACTCTGCAGGTACCGGAGCTGCTCCTGCCTGGCCTTCAGCTGCCTCAGGAACTGCTTCCAGCTCTCTGTTTCCATAACATCAGGCGTGTTTTGTAGACAGTAACTTCAGTACCTGTGTTTATTGCTACAAAGCACAGGCGCAGTGTAACTGTGTGACTGAAATGCTTTTCTTCAGTACCTGTGTTTATTGCTACAAAGCACAGGCGCAGTGTAACTGTGCGACTGAAATGCTTTTTTTTTTTTTACTTAATTTGTTTTCAAAAAAACAAAACACAACCCCCCCAAAAAACCCAACCCAAACCAGAAACCAAAGCTGCAGCTGTGAGCTAATTGTCACCTGCTCTTAACGACTCAGGGTAGTTGTTGAACCTCTGGATGATTTGTTTTGCTGTAGCTCTAATGTAAGCTTGTAGATGGTAATTTGTGTTGATAAGTGTATAGCGATGGAAACAAAAATACCCTCTTCCAGAGAGATTGCTGAGAGGTCCTCAATAACAGTGATTTCGTAGTGATTCAAGAGTAAACTGTAATTCTTCAGGGTCTTTTTATGGGGGGAAAGAAAACAACGTTCACTTTTAGTCTTAGATGTTGACCAGAACGACTTGAAGGATAATGAGTGTCAGTTGAGGTGCTCGGAGCAGAGGTGAGAGACAGGTACTAAGGGCCAGGATGTCGTCCCCCTGTGCCCTGGTGTCGTCCCCCTGTGCCCTGGTGTCATCCCCCCGTGCCCTGCTGTGGAGCTTTCTGTAAGGGCAGGGAGACTGCTCCAATCCCAGTCCAAAGCTGCCCTGTTCAATGGGCATCCGGCCCCTTGGTCCCCACTGAACTGGGCTGATGCTACTTACTTAACCCAAGTTTTAATGCAGTTGCTGTGATTTGATATAAATTCCATGAACAAGGTGCTTCATAAGCACAAGTGCTGACTCGGGCATGGCCTGTGAACAGTTTTCAGGCTCGGATGGGTCCGTTTATTTCAGAATCACACTTAAATCCTGATCCTAATGTGTATCTAAGACCTTGAATTGACTCAGCTTTTATTTCCAAGTGCTCTGCCGTCCCGGCACGGCTGCTCTCCTCATGGAGAGACACGGGCTCTGCTTAGAGTGTTTGGGAGGCAGATTCCGAGTGGAGAGGTTTGAGTTATGGAAGTCTATTCCTGAGGAAATTGGATTGAACCCAATCCTCAGCAGAGAGAATGAAATATGAGATACATCTGTTCAGTACAAGTTTCCTTCCCGGTGAAGGTATTTTTATGATATATTCTGCTGCAGAACAAAGGAATTGTCTCCCTCATGCTTTCTACCTGATGGTTGTTTTACAATTAAATGCCAAGTCAGTGGCAGGTTTAGAAATGTCAGCTCACCTGAAATGAGAGGCTTGATGGTCTTTTAAATTCTACCCACTCGTTAGGCAGCGTAGGCATCTCTGTCTCAAATCTTGTTCATATATATAATGCTCTTTACAAATTTATCTGCAGCTAATGAGAATGAAGCTTTTAATAGCTTCTTGAATTAGCCCTACTTTTTAAGATGGCTTGCAAGAATTTTAAAGTGACAGAGTAGTTTTAATTTTAAAGAAATTAATCTTTTTTTTATCTTGGGAGTTGTTTCAAATCTTAAGCAAATACATTTAAGTGATGACTTATTGCTGGGTAACTCCTTATTCAGGTCTTTAATACTTCAACGTAATGCTATTCTTTTGCATTTCTTTTTCAGGCAAGGTATAAAAGTAAAGTTAAAAGCTGTTTTGGGAAGATACCTTGCCAGTTTTTCATACAAGCTTGTTGGCTCATCCTTTTTCTGATACATGTTTGGCCAGTTTGCTGAGTGTATGTTTTTATCTTCATGCTTTCTTTTAACCATTCTGCCCTTCCACATGCTGCAGCGTGTTCTCTCAGCATCTCTTGGGATTCCCCTGCCCTGAATAAAATCCTGTGATACTTTCTTTTTTTTTCTTTTTTTTTAATCCCACCCCCAACTCATAGATTCTGCATACGTTGCTGCTAATACACGGAGCAGTCATCCCGGTCTTCCTGCAAAGCTGCTTTTCAGATATCTTTGGGATTTTTAAAATATTTTTGTTTTTTTTAGAAGAATTCCATTTTTTTTAATGTACTAGAAGGCTCATGGTGATTGTCATGAGCCCTCTGTGGTGAACTGCAGCGGTACCGTTGTGCAGAGGCTGATGAAGGCAGGTGGGTGAGCAGATGATTGCCCGAGTTTGATAAGCACCTTCTTATCACACATCTCAGAAGCCTCCCTGGGCACGAGACGGTGGTGTTGGTGCTGAAACAGCAGCTCTCCCCACCTGGCTTCACCTCTTGGGCTCTGAAGAAGAAGTTCTCACTTGACTCAGTTAAAAAGCTCTAACTTTTATTTGTCCAGTGACAAAACAGCCTTCTGAAGTCAAAGAACTAAGGCGTTTCTCTTTCTGTTTCTCCAGAGGAATGACATTGCCATGGCCATTACAAAGTTTGATCAGTTTGACTTTCTCATCGATATTGTTCCCAGAGATGAACTGAAGCCTCCAAAGCGGCAGGTGAGACATAAAGATGATTTCCTTGTTGTCTGTCCTTTCCTTGGTGTGATTTTTGGTCTCTAATTAAAAGAAAGATGATTAAAGCAATACAGAGTCAGGTTTAAACATGAGGTTTGTGCCTCTGTCTTTTGCATGTTTATTTACAGTAGTTTTCAGGTTCTTTATTTATTTTTAATGGAAGTAGAGCTCAAGTGGAGATTTACAGAAGTCTCGGATTTACTTAAGTGACAAAAACATTGCTAAATAGCTCTGATACCAACTGTTGCCAATGTTAAAAATTTAACTTTAAAAGTCATGCTGAGTCTTCATCCTTTGAGTTGTAAAGGGAGAACCAGGCTTCTTTGCTTGGAGGTCCCACCTCCTGCATCCTTTGGGGCAGTCGTTGCTCCTGTAAACATCCTTGACTGGAAGCTGTAAGGAGTTAGAAGGAGCTTTCAGTCGGATGTTTACAGCAGCAGGCTGCTGCCGGCCTCTCGGCACAGGATCTTCCAAACCTAATGGCCTTCTCAGGTTTTACAAAGTGCTTTTTCCCCTCCACGTGTGAAACGCTGCTGGAAATGCCGGGAAGTGGGGTTGGAGCTGCTTCAAACACACAAAGAAACATATCCAGCTCCTGGTAGACTTTAATTTTTCTCCTTCACCTAAAAGCTTGGTGTTTTGTTGTTCAGAGCTTTGGTCTTTGCCTTTCACCAGTTCAGGAATTGCTCATCTCTCTTCGTCACGAGTTGTCTGGTTGGTACCAGGGCTGGGCTGCCATCGGTACGGCTCTGCCAGGAACAGCTCTGCTCAGACACTGCTGCACCTCCTTCAGCTCCTGGAATCGTTGCCCAGGGCTCAGCTGGACCAATTTCTTCTTTTGAAGAGTAAATTTTGCAGTAGTTTATAACAATTTACAACAATTCCTTCAGCTGCTTTTTTTTTCTGATACTTTTGAAGCTTTGCAGTGTGTGAGCGTTTGAAAAAATCCAATGTGGTCCTTAAAATAGCTTCTCTAGTGAGTGTGAGAGGAGAGGTTGGCATACTTTAAAACATCTTTCTGGCAAGTGTTTTACTTGGAAGTTTTTTTTGACATGTTGGGGGTTTTTTTGCATTTCAGTATAAATCTGGAAAACATGCAAAGCCTTCGTGGTGCTACTGAAGTGATGGCCAAAGGGAGGAAATACACCCTTCATCCTTTCTGATGGCCTGAGTTGAGTTTATCCTCTCATTCTGATTTCCAGAAGCAGCATAACTTTCTAATAAATGAGGAAAATACCTTTACATGTCAAAATGGATGCAGGAGAGTCTGTCCTACTGCTGCAGTCAGCTGTGGTTAAAATGAGCAGCATCCCAAGGCTTCCTCCCAGGTGTGCTGGGAGCTCTGTGCTCTGTGCCACGCTGAGCATCACACATGGGAGCACAGCTCCTTCCATCCTTCCACTGAGATGATTTATCCAAAGATCATTAGTTCAGTATTAATTAAAAAGACAAATCAGGAGCCTGTACAGCCGCTCTCAGTCCTTTGCTGAGCTGGAGGAAAGAAAACCCACGTCTCAGTTTGTGGAGCTTGATAAGCCGAGAGGAGCTGGCTGCAGCCTGAAGTAACACAGGTTAATTCTGACGCTGCAAATTCAAGTCCTTTTTTCTCTTTGGTACCTCATTCAGTTACTCTGTAGTGCTATTTTTAGAAGTACTCCATGTTTGGGAGGGAGAACATTACCCGTATCTTTTTCTCCTTGCTGGTGCCTTTTGATTCCTATCAGGATGTTCTGATGACAGCACATTCCAGTTCTCTAATCAAATGAAGGCCTGTGGTGTGTGTTGGATGCATATGGGTTGGTGGGTTAATGCCACTGGATGATACATCCCACCAGAGCCGTGTCTCTTGGATCGCGCAGCATCAGCAGCGAAACCCTGTCGGGTTCTTGGATTGGAAGAGGCTTTAGAGCTGTGTCTCTCCCCGATACATCCCCCGCCTGCAGTCGCTGCTGAGTCACCTCAAACACTCCTTATGGAGAGAGGGGTTTAACGGAGCCATCGCTGCCCCATGGGAAGGGGGGTTGGGACTTCCCAGTGGAAAATCCTTCTTTGCTTCAGCGGTGTTGAAAAGCAGCTGCCTGTAGGCTGGGAGCCTGCACTTTTTGGCTGGGGGTACAACCTGTATTTTATCTCCACCACAGAAAAGACTGTTTGACAAGTTAGTGTTGGTTCCCTGGAAGAGCTGGGAATGAAACCGTGACTGTTGTGTTGCTCTGGTAACTAAAGCTGTGGCTTGACAATAAAAGATGGCAAACGATGCGCTACAACCTGGTTGAAGCAGAATTGAATTTACAGCCATTTTTGCCTGTAGCAACTGTAACTTCACCTGGAATAGACACACACAGAAGTACTCTGTTGCTGTGATTGTTTTGGGATTCAGCTGAGAACTGAGGATTGGAGCGCTCTGGAAATAAATCTAAGGACTCAGCTTTACAGAAACAGCCACAGCTCTTCTGTGCATCTGCTTTTGTGGTTAACTGGAGACCTGTCCTGTTGAATATATATATATTTTAAACTTGTTATTAATCCCTCCCACAAAGGATTTGGAATAATCAGTGAATTACCATGTGTAGGAAGTATTGTGTTTGATTGCAGTGGGTTGCAGTAGCGTGGGATAGTGCTGCTGTTTGCTCTGAGGGCCAGCCTTGGAAATTACTTCTTGATTACAGCCAACTGTGAACAGCTTAATCTTTGGGGGGCAATTTTCTGGTAGGCTGTTGGGAAACCTCCCAATAGTAAGGCTTTTCCTTAGTTGCTGTCCCTCTTGAGAGTCTTGCATCTGAGCAAAAGGGTTCTCTTACTCAAGCCTGATGCCCATCTAGACAACACACACTGACTTCATTTAATGTCAGCTTTTCTTTCCCTGCCCAGTTGGATGCACTGGAGGTAACCGGGAGCAAACCTCCTTCAGTGCAGGGGGATGAAGCAGCCTCGTGTGAGTGGGAATGTGCCATGTTGTAGCATGTGTAAACATCCTACACTCTCAGCTGTGAACTGGAGGTGGCTGGGAGAGGATTGTTTACGCCTTCTGCCATGGAGTGAACATCTGGGAGCTGCGTCTGCCCGAAGGTGTGAGATCCAACTGCTGCTGGGGAGCTTAAGAGTATGGATTCTCAGGTGTTAAGGGCTCGCCACTGAACGTAATCTCTGAAAATCTACTTCTCTGCCTAAAACGTCGTTAATCATAGGGGCTTTTCTCTCCTAAATACATGCTTAGATAAAACAAAACAGCAGTGTTACAGCCCGTGCCTTCTGAAGGTGAGCTAGAGCAGAGCCTTTTGTTTCTCCACACTGTTGGGACATTCCTGCTACCAGCAGAATCAGGCTGTTAAGCCGTGGGAAGGGATGAAGTTGTTACAGTTCTGGAAAAGCTGGATTTAAATACATGACTAAAGGCACGACAGTGTGCATCGAGTCTGCAGCTCTCATTGCCAGGGGTTTAACAGCGGAGCTAGACTGAGATTTGTGTTGGGCACGTAGGCTACAAGGGGTTTTGTTGACAGATGAGGCTCTGTAAGTCTTCCTGGTGCATTTGCAATTCGTTCTGCGCTAAGATAACAGGCGATGGTGGCGGTTGCTGAGGAGCTGCCTGGTTTTCAGCTATGGTAATTTTACTGATTTGCATCCCGGAATGAAATTGATGACTGCATTATTATACGCAGGGTATTGGAAATGGTTTTGATTTCCATATAGCTGAATAAATGAGGAAACCTATCTTGATTTATCGTTTCAGATTTACTTAGTTAAACTGTTAGGAGGGAGGTATTAAGGACACTTTCCCATGGAGCATGCTGGGGGCGGGGGGGTGTGTTTCAGCCGTGGTCGGGGTGTTTGGTGGCTGTTGGTCTGTTCCCCCCCCGTTGACCTGTTGTTTCCCTGTGCTGCAGGAGGAGGTGCGTCAGGCTGTCACCCCAGCAGAGCCTGTGCAGTATTATTTCACACTGGCTCAGCAGCCCGCGGCCGTGCAGGTTCAGGGGCAGCAGCAAGGCCAACAGACCACCACGTCGACCACCACCATCCAGCCTGGCCAGATCATCATCGCCCAACCTCAGCAGGGGCAGGTGAGCCACGGGCAGCATCCAGGGGCTTCCCACTTCCCTGGAGCCCCTGAAACCCCCAGCCTGCCCGTAGTGTATTGCAGTATCCTGTTCTGACCGCTCACAACAGTCAGTAACAATATAGAAATGTGTTTTCTGGTCACAACCAGGTGTTTAGATACCTTAATAACAAGGGTCATCTAGGTCCTGGGTTCCCTTTGTGGTGGTTTCAGCATCCCCAAGGAGCAGTGGGTGTAGGAAGCAGCCTGTCGCTTGCAGTCTTTGTATCTCGTGGCTGTTTCACCCGTGTTCAAGTCCTGGCTTGGTCCTTATCCCCGTTCTGAATGCAGACAACCCCCGTGACGATGCAGGTTGGAGAAGGCCAGCAGGTACAGATAGTGCAGGCCCAGCCCCAAGGACAGACCCAGCAGGCTCAGAGCGGAACTGGGCAGACCATGCAAGTCATGCAGCAGATCATCACCAATACAGGAGAGATCCAGCAAATACCGGTAAGACTTTGCCAGTGGAAATGTCTAACAGGCTTGTGAGCAAACTCTCTGCTCCTGTTCTGGCATGAGACTGTATATATACGGATTTTTTTTAACTGTAAGAGGAAATTTGGATTGAGTGGTGTGTTTCCTGCACTTAGAGAGGAAAACTAACCAGGTGTGACATGAAATGGGAAATAAATCTAACCCATCTAGTGTAGACTCATTGCCCACCCCCAACACTTATCCCCTGAGTGAAATAGTTACGATTAGGAAGCAATAAATAAAATATTTCCTGGATAAACCTTAGTTCTTTACTACAGCATGGTTTCAATAAAGCAGAATTAACTACTTTTGCCTTTACTTGGTTCTGCCTCTGCAATCTGAAGTCATGACCTGGCAGACTGAGTGGGAAAGGTGCCATCTGTGAGTTATTAATAAACTTTTATGTCGTAAGAAATATTTCTACAAAATGCTTTGAGCTGGTTGTAGGAATGGCTTTGCAGAACCAGAAGATATCTCCTCACTTTCACGTCAGAACAGACCTGCTGTGGCCTTAAAAATGGGATTTTGAGTACCCAGCATCAGCAGGGACGTTCTGGCACGTGTCCTGGGTAAACACGGGGGGCAAAAAAAGTCACATTTTTTCCTCTCTTCTCTGTAACTTGCAATCACAACAAAGCTGGGGCTGTTGGTTCCCATCTGGAAAATTTCACACCTCTTAAAGAAAAAAAAAATAGATCTGTCCAGTTCTATGTACTTAACCAGCAACCCAAAGGTCAGAGCGAGCAGCCAGGACGAGTGTTTCGCTTTGTCTTTGATTTCTGTTACTCAAAGTGCCCCACAGCTGTGACACGAGTGGTCTTTCGCAGCAGTTTGGCTTTTGGAGGTTTGCTGAGCTTCCCTCTGTCCGTCTGGCAAATGTCCGTGCTTCGCCACAGCGTCTTGAAAGGGCTTTAGATCCTGGGTGTTGCCCGATTTTTCCAATTCACTTCCAAATTCTTTTCGTCTCTTAAGTCTTGAGCTGATCCCTACTGCGTGGCTTAAGGTGTTGGTCAGAAAGGAACAGCAAGGAAGTGAATTGTTTGCCAAATAGGGTGTCTCACTACAAACAACCTTTTTTTCTTCTTTTCATTTTCCGCTACCTTTCTTTTACATTCTTTTTTTTTTTCATCTTCCTTGCCTTATCAAAGTCTCTGAGAGATACTTTGTTCTTCAAAGCATTTTGGAAGGAGATCTCCACCTCCAGCCCCAGTGAATCCATTCCAGCAGTACTGAAGTGTTGCAGCATCCTTCCTTTGGTTCAGCAATAAAAGAGCAGTTCATACTTGATTTCCAGTTGTCTCCAGTGGATGCTGGGAGCCCCTGCAAGAAGGGGGCTGGGAGAGCTGCCAGGAGAAAGAATTCTTTATAAAGTAGCTGTGAGGGGGCCATAACCTTCTGCAGGAAGAGCTGCTCTCCACGAAGGTGGATCCTATTGTAAGTGGTCCTGTGTTTCAGGAGGCTTTTTAATTAGCATCTGGTTTTGGCCAAGCATGTGCTTCCACCTCCCTCTTGTCTGGGAGCATCTGAGGAGAGGGAGCTGTGACTGCTGCTCAGGAGCTGTGGATGTGAGACGGGAACTGCCAAGTGCCAGAGTCCTCTGTCTTGTGTCTTTGGGAGCACTTGGCTCGATAAAACCTGCAAGTCTGCAAAACAGAGCAACTTAGGAGCTGTGCTTTAATGAAGCAGTCACACCTCGCGCTTCTGTGTCTAGCAGAGATACTGGTTTGACTGTAATTAAGAGGATTCTTCTTAATCACGGTGCATTGAGGAGCCACGGTTCGTGCCGAAGGCAGCATCTTTCCCCTCGCTCGCTTCCAGCAGGTGAAGTGAAACAGGACATGGAGCCCTGCACTCGCTGCCAGCGCTTTGTGCTGCCCTGGCCTGAGGAGCAGGTTTTGTTTGGATTCACAGACCTGCAGCCCCCGGTCTCCTCTCACTGCTCTCCCTTCTGCTCCCTTGCTGCTGTGCTCGTGTTATTTTCCCATTGAGTTTCCTTTCTCTTTTGATACAGTTAGTGCTGCTGATTCCTTTTCGCTCTGGTATCTGTTTGGGTTCTGCAAAGAATCTTTCATAACCCAAATGGGACAGTTTAAAACACTCTGTAAAGCTGGCGGTGCCTCTGGTGATGGCAGAGGTGTTGAGAGACTCTCCCTCCTCTTGGCTGCTGCTTTTCCCCTGCTCCTGCTGCTCCGGACACTTCCCTGCTGCCACTTACCATATCTTCAGGACCACAGGTTGCCTCTGGAAAGGTGGCTTTTATTTTTTTTTTAAAACTGAGGAAAAGCCTAGAAGTGTGCATGTTAACAAAATGGTAATCATTTGCTTGTCTGCATTAACTCTGTGTTAAATGGAGTTTGCCTCTGGAAAGGTGGCTTTTATTTTTTTAAAAACTAAGGAAAAACCTGGAAGTGTGCATGTTAACGAAATGGTAATCATTTGCTTGTCTGCAGTAACTTTGTGTTAAATGGAGCCTGTGTCTTGGGCAGACCCCACTGGGCAGGGTCTGTGGAGCTGACTCCTTTCTGGAAGAACGTTCTTTCTACATCTCTTCCATCCATCCAGTTAGTGGAGAAGTTAACATCAATGCAGGAAGCCCCCAGTGTGGAAAACATGCTCTGTGGGCAGGTCTTGGTCCTCACTGCTCTCCCTTCTGCTCCCTTGCTGCTGTGCTCGTGTTATTTTCCCATTGAGTTTCCTTTCTCTTTTGATACAGTTAGTGCTGCTGATTCCTTTTCGCTCTGGTATCTGTTTGGGTTCTGCAAAGAATCTTTCATAACCCAAATGGGACAGTTTAAAACACTCTGTAAAGCTGGCGGTGCCTCTGGTGATGGCAGAGGTGTTGAGAGACTCTCCCTCCTCTTGGCTGCTGCTTTTCCCCTGCTCCTGCTGCTCCGGACACTTCCCTGCTGCCACTTACCATATCTTCCAGGACCACGGGTTGCCTCTGGAAAGGTGGCTTTTATTTTTTTTTTAAAACTGAGGAAAAGCCTAGAAGTGTGCATGTTAACAAAATGGTAATCATTTGCTTGTCTGCATTAACTCTGTGTTAAATGGAGTCTGTGTCTTGGGCAGACCCCACTGGGCAGGGTCTGTGGAGCTGACTCTCCTTTCTGGAAGAACGTTCTTTCTACATCTCTTCCATCCATCCAGTTAGTGGAGAAGTTAACAGCAATGCAGGAAGCCCCCAGTGTGGAAAACATGCCCTGCGGGCAGGTCTTGGTCCAGAAACAATTTTTTTATTGACGTGTTTATGTTCCCGTGGAGTTTACTCGCTCTTGCAATAATATTGGAGCTGTCAGACACAGCTGGGGAAGGCAGCGGCGTTTGTGTACGTGCCAAGTCCCTGTTCTCAGCCCTTGAACCCTTGTCACTGAGCAGTTTTCAAGTGGTTTGTGTGTCCTTCTTTCCCCTTTTAAAAAGAAAAAAAAAAAAGCCCTCAAAACATTTTCGGTGTGTAATTAACCTTAAGGCTGTGAATCCAAATGTTCTAAAGTTAAGTAACACTCAATGAAAAAGTTCAATGGTAGCGTTGATCCTACTGTGACCTTTTTATTGCTTCTTGGGTGTGTATTAGTACTGATACCTGTTTCTGTCACAGAAAACGCAAGGTGAGACTGGAGGTTACCACCATGACATTGATTTCATATCCCACACCCCCAGGCATCTGACCCTGCAAATTCAGGGATTGTAGGCAATAAATTTGCATTTGATTGTTAAGCACAGAAGGTACTGGCCTTTGCCGGGTGGGCAGAGTTGCATTAAAAGCTTCCAAATATTCCCTCTCAATATTCCTGGGGTTTGTCATCCCTGCTGGCTTGGGGTGAGACTTTCCCATACGTTCTTGTATATTTTTTTGGCAGGATATAGTAGGAGTGTCATTGTGTGCAGGCAGCTCATAACCATCCTCTTCCTGCGAAACGGTCCATCAGAGCAGGAACTCGAGTCTCGTACCCAGCAAGAAAAAGAAGTGGTGCTCAAAGTGCTCTGAAATTCAGCCATTAATATGCTTTAGCTACTAACTGCCCCCTCCTGCTCCGGAGGCAGCAGTAACCTTGTGCTTCCTCGGGGTCTGACTCCAGGAACCTGCAGGAGTTCCCTGGGCCCTGCTCTCCCCCCGGCAGGGTCTGTGGTAGTTGTTCATCTGAAACCGTGACTCACCCGGAGCTTCCCGGTGTCATCGGCTCCGGCTTCTGTTGGGGGAACGAGAAGGCAAAGTGTGTGTGTGTCAGGTTACCCGGTTACCTGTTTAATTTTCTTTCCCTGCCCCCTCCGCTTGTCTCCAGGTTCAGTTGAATGCTGGCCAGCTGCAGTATATCCGCTTAGCCCAGCCCGTGTCAGGCACCCAGGTAGTCCAGGGGCAGATCCAGACGCTTGCAACCAATGCACAGCAGGTAGGCACTCTAACAGCAGGGCTGGCATTAACCCCTAAAGTGTTGTTCCCCAGCTCCTGGAACGGCAAAGTCCAGTCGCAATCACCCCCTCTTGGGCTAGGATTCCTGCATTTTCTTTTCTTCCTGTTACTTTCATCGGAATAACAAAGCCCGGAGCGTAGCGGAAGCCTCCTTTACCTCTGCGGGGAAGGTGCATGCCTCTGTGTGTGTGTCTGTGTCTCGCTGTGTGAAGCTTGTGCCGCTTCTGAGCTGGCTGCAGGTGAAGCTGGAGTTCATCACCCTTCTCTTTCCTTCTGCTCCTCTGGTGGGCGAGGGAGGAGCAGCCCTGCCGTGCTGGGGGAAGGCTGTGGCTGAGGCCAAGCATCGAGACCGGCGTGGCTGCCAGCGGGTTGTCCCGTGTTCTCCTGAGACCCCTGAGGGATCCTTCTCTGCCTTCAGAGGACAGGGAGGCTGCTGCTTTCCTCCTCGTGGAAATCAGGGAGGATGTGCTTGGGTTTGGTTTGGAACAGTGGGATCCCACGTCCTTCCTTCTTGACTTGCCCACAGGCCAGCAGCTAAACTGTGTCTTACTGCCCGGTGGGGCAACGGAGGTTGGAAGAGTGGAAAAGCTCTTGAAAGGTGGCAGCAGAATGTTGTTAGTGGGGCTGTGACCCTCTCCGAAGGCCTGGCAGTGATCGTCCCTCTCTTGTCCCTGCAGATAACGCAGACAGAGGTCCAGCAAGGGCAGCAGCAGTTCAGCCAGTTCACAGACGGGCAGGTAAGAACTCGGGGCTCGTTGGTGCATCGTCCCTTTGAAGTCAAGGGCTGGAAACACTGTCCTAAAGTCTGCATCAGCTCCTCCTGATAAATCACTGCTGCTGCCAGCAAATCCCAACCAGGAGCGGGATGTGGTGCCAGTCTTACTTCATTCAGGTGGATTCTTCATGTCCTACGGCCTCTGCTCCCAGTTAATTCAGCCCATTGTGCTCTGGGTGGGGTCCTAACCAGGTTAAGAATAAAGATCTTAACATGTAGCTATTGACTGTTCTGTGAGTAGCCTGAAGTAAGCGTGGGGGTCAGAAATTCACAAAATTATTTTGCTATCATTTAGCAGCAAATAACCAGCATCGGTTTGTGGTCTGTTTCTTTGAGGGGACAGATTTTCCTTGGATGCGAGAGGTGCTTTTAGTGCCACCACTGAGCTGGGGGGGTTAATGCCCAGCCTGGTTTGGAGGGAGCTGGTGCAGGGGATGATGAGAACTGATGGTTCTTTCTTTCTCCTGCTTCTCACTCCACCAGCAACTGTACCAGATCCAGCAGGTGACCATGCCTGCGGGCCAGGACATCGCCCAGCCCATGTTCATCCAGTCCACCAACCAGCCCTCGGACGGGCAGGCCACGCAGGTGACAGGGGACTGAGCAGGGACCTCGTGGTGGGTCCTCTCTGCCTGGAAACCACACGTTCCAGCTCCACCTCTGCCTGCTCCGACCAACGCATCGGCTCCTCTGCACCTCTACCTGGTATTAGGCCTACAGCAGGCTGCCATCTCCAGTGCACCACACACCTTCCTCTGCTGGGTGGGAGAGAGTACCCACCAGACACTGACAAGAATGCAATATTTTTATTTTTATTTTTAGAAATCACTATTTCAGTCTATACAGCCGCTCGTTCAGACCCATAAAACCAAACGAGAACTAATCAAAAGGGATTTGTAGCCTCTCAGTCGACGATGTGTTAAACGTTTTTATCTAGTACAATTATTAAAGGGTACTGCATCTGGTTCGTTGGAAGAGCTTTTTTCCTGGTATTGTTTGTATTTTTTATTTTATTTTATTTTTCTCTGAATAGAGCTAGATTCAGTTCCTCCCATCCCAATGGTTTATTAGGGGGTGTGGGGGGAGTGTGTGTGTGTTAGATTTTCCTCTCCTGCCTCCTTTTTGGGAGCATTTATGCAGCTCAAAGGTAGAGAGTAGGAGAGGAGTAATTAAAGCGAAAACAAGACAAAACAAAAAACCCCATTCTTTATCTGATGACTGCTTTGTCCAAGGGCAAAAGGTTCTTTAATTCGGCCTGATTTATTCCAGAAATGCTAATGGAGACCTGGACAAACCCCAGCCCTGCTGTTAACTCCTGTACCAGCTTCAGTCGATGCATGTAATATAAGCTTCATAAAAATGAAATAAATTTCCTTTGTAAGATAATGTGTGTGCTTTCTTTGAGGTGCTGTGCCCAGTCTCGACCTGCCGAGCCAAGAGCATCCCAAATCCCCCAAAACTCTTCTGCCCGAAGCAGCGAAAGTAGCAATGGGGTTGTGGGGCTCCAGGGTGGAGAAGGGGTGGGATGAGGGTTGGAGTGACTGGGGAATGAGACTGAGGGTCTGGGGGTCCCTGGGGGCTCCTGCAGCTGTGGGTACGGAGGAGGTACCACCTCTCCCTGTGCCCAGGGCCCAGCTGAGCCCACGGGGGGAGTTTGGGTCAGGTTTAATCACTGTTTGGCCAATTTTAGGTCCGAGCCAGATGGGTGAGGGTTTGGAAGTGAGGACCTTTGTGTGTCCACCATCAAGCAGCCTGGTGTAGTTGGAGCCCAGAGAAGCTCCGTGGCTTTGGGCAGCACTTGGCAGAGCTGGGGGACGGCACTGGGGACGGTGCCAGTGTCACCACTTGGTTTTCGCTGCCAGAAACACCCAGTTTGCTGTGATTTTGGAATTAAGGGAAGGCTTGGCCATTCCTGCCCGTGGTGTGTAACCCAGGTACAGGCTGTGTGGCCCTGTGAGTGTTCTGCCTGGTGGTGTGGGACGTGGGCTGAGAGGCTCACCCGGGGGAGGGTGCAGGAGAACAGCGGGGGGGGCAGCAGCTGCTGGGGAAGGAAAACTCCACTTCAGCATTTGGCTGGTGCAAACGACTTAAATCTGGGCCAGGTTGTTCCAGTCGGGCAAGGGAGCTTTGCTGCATTACCTGCACCTCCTGGGCTTTCTAAATGTCAATTTTCTTATATTTTTTTTTCTTTGTTTTAAATTTTTTTCCGATTCTGCCATGCCTGGGAGCCAGCCCCGCACTGCAGCAGCAGCAGCCCTGCACCTTCCTGAGCATCAGCCCCTGTGCAGGCAGCGCAGGGGGGGCCTGGCCAGAGCCGGGGATGTGCCCTGGAGGAGCACAGAAAAGAGGATTTTGGGGTGAAAAAGGACTTTGCATGAAAGGTCCGTGTGTGGGGACCGGCCACGAGAGGTCACCCGTGGGCGGCTGCTGCCCGGGAAGGGCTGGAAGGGGCCGGGGGCTCGGAGGTGCCTTCCCCACCCCATTCTTTATAGTGGTGGCTCTGGTACCCACCGACTCTGGTCCCCACCAGTCTGGTCCCCTGATCCAAGCTGCCATCAGTCCCCGTAGCCTGATGCCCCCACAGCCAAGGTGCCCGTGGCCAGACTGGTGCTCCCCACTGGCCCTCGGTGAGGAGAGCTGGGCTGGCAGAGCAGCCTTAAATGGCCTCAAGTTGTGCCAGGGGAGATTTAGATTGGATATTAGGAAACATTTCTTCACAGAAAGGGTTGTCCAGCATTGGAACAGGCTGCCCAGGGAAGGGGTTGAGGCACCATCCCTGGAGGGGTTCAAAACACGGGTTGACATGGTCCTCAGGAATATGGTTCGGTGATTTTTTATTGCTTATTTCTTATTTATTTTTTTGTCAGAGTTAGGTTGATGGTTGGACTAGATGATCTTTAAGGTCCCTTCCAACCCAGATGATTCTATGATTCTGTGATTCTATGGTTTTGGCTTGTGCCAAGGAGTGGGGCTGGGGAATCGACTTGTGGGGCTCCGGGGAGGGGGGAGCCGGGTGGGCAGAGCCCCCCCTGCCTTATCAGCCGCTGGCAGAGGCAGCGAGCGAGGCTCTTCCCAAGGAAAGCTCTTTACCCAAAGCACTGGTGTTTGCTTGAAATAGTTTAAATTTGAATGGGGAATAAATTGCTTAAAGGAGAGAAA